TTAGTTGATTTAAGTGTTGTTCAAGTATTCTATTTTCCTATAGATCTTATGCTTGGTTTTTGTTTTTTTTTTTTTTTTTTTGACGGGGGTTTGCTCTTGTTTCCCAGGCTGGAGTAGTGCAATGACGCGATCTCGGCTCGCCACAACCTCCGCCTCCCGGGTTCAGGCAATTCTCCTGCCCCAGCCTCCTGAGTCGCTGGGATTACAGGCACGCGCCACCATGCCCAGTTAATTTTTTGTGTTTTTAGTAGAGACGGGATTTCACCATGTTGACCAGGATGGTCTGGATCTCTTGACCTCGTGATCCACCCGCCTCGGCCTCCCACAGTGCTGGGATTACAGGCTTGAGCCACCGCGCCCGGCCTGCTTAGTTTTATAGTATTATTGAAAGTGGAGTATTGAAGTCTCCAACTCTTATTATTGAATTGTCTTTTCCCCTGCTTAAATTCTGTCCACTTTAGTTTCATGTAAATTTGAGGCTCCTTTGTTTACTGCACATGTATTTTTGGTTGTTATACCTTCATTTTATATATATATATATAAATGTATGTATAGTGTATATATATATATATAATGCAATATATATATAATGTAATATATATATAATGTAATATTTATATATTAAGTAGTATTACACAAATACTAACTAAAAAAGGAGTGGATATTCTAACATAAGACAAAATAGAATTTAAGACAAAAGTTAATAGAGACAAAGAACATTTTATAATATTCTATATATTTCTAATATTTACTGTAAACACAATCTGTGCTCCTTGAGTTACTCAAATATTTGTTTCTATGGTGTAGTCGACACATCATGTTATCTCATGAAATCAAAGTTTGTAATAAAAAAAACTCCCCATTCTTTCTTAACTTTTTCAATTTTAATTCTTTTAACATTTACTTCTGAATCCTCTTAGAGTGTGATAGATACTATAAGAATCTGATTAATGCTGAAATTAATATAATCATTACTTTCTGACTTTTGCATGTTTGCACACCTTTTAGTATATCTAAGTTATCATAGTATATTTTTAACAATTGCATTACATTTTTTTTTACCACATTCAGTTGGTAGTCGTTTATTTTTGTAGCCATTTATCATCCCTTGGGCTTTCTTATTTTAAAATATCTTTCTTCAACTTGTGTTTGTGGTTTTGCCTTTTTTTGCCATCATATTTTTTTATTTAATTGAGACAGTTCTATTTCCTAATATATTATGCTAATATGTTAATTTAAATTATGTTCTCATTTTCTTGGAGTTTATAATCATCAGCTACTTTGAGAAGAATTTAAAAAGAAAGTAAAAGAAGAAGAAAGAAAAATTTGGCCCTGGACGTGTTTCTCTTAGGTGCCATTTTACTTGTCCCTTAGTATCTATTATTATATTAATATTATTATTTTTGATTTAGTGAAAGATTAACATATTCTTAGGCTTTTCATTTATTCCTTTCCCATTTACTCCTCAAACTTCAGCTAACATATTTCTCACTCCTCCATCAAAAAGACAAACAAAATCTCTACAAATCCAAAAATAAAAACTGGGTAATTCTCTCTTTCTTTCATGATCTTTCAGCAGCATATGGCAGATTGATTCTTTTCTTAACTAGCTTTCCTCATGCTTCTATAACAGTTTATTATTGTTGATTATTTTGTAGGCTACCTGTTATCTGCCTATATTTTATTAATATTTCCCCAAAGGTCTTCCTGGTTCCACTTCCTAAGCTCCTAGAGTGATTTCATAAACTATTGTCACTTCTGTTGTAAGACTATAAAGTATTGAGATAATATAGAGTCATGGTTAAGAGTACAACTCTAGAATAAGATTTGCTGGTTTCAAATCCCAACTCTATGCATGTCAAGTTAATCTTGATATGCATAAATTGCCCCTTCAGTGTAAGAGGAAACATAATAGTAACAATCTCAGGTTTGTTATGAAGATTACATTAACATATGCGAATAGTTTTTTAAATTCCTCATATGTAATAAAATAACCTAAATGTTAGATCATATTGAAACTACTATTTTTATGTTGATAAAATTCATATATCTCTCTGTATTAGTCCATTTTGATGCAGCTGATAAAGACATACTTGAGACTGGGAAGAAAGAGTGGTTTAATGAACTTACAGTTCCACATGACTGAGGAGGCCTCACAATCGTGGTGAAAGGCAAGGAGGAGCAAGTCGCACCTTACGTGGATGGCAGCAGGCAAAAAGAGAGAGCTGGTGCAGGGAAACTCCTCCTTTTAAAACCATCAGATCTCATGAGTCTTATTCACTATCATGAGAACAGCATGGGAAAGACCTGCCTGCATGATTCAATTACCTCTCACTGGGTCCCTCCCCCAACACGTGGGAATTCAAGATGGGGTTTGGGTAGGGACACAGCCAAATCATATCACTCTCTATCTTAAATTTCATCTTGAGATTTTCCTCTTCTCTTATAATCATTCTATTTTTAATGTACAAATATAGTCTATATTATAAAACACTTAAAACAATGTAATATATAAGAATTATCTGTCTCAGCAGTTAATATTTCTGTCAGCTGTATGATGCATACTCCCAGTCAAAAATCAGAGAGTCATAACTTCATTTTTAAACGGGTAAACAGTGTTTTCTTATGTGGTATACTGCACTTTAATTAATCTTCTACAGTTGGACATTTGTATTGTAATCCAGTGAATTTCTATAATAAAACATTATTAATTTTAAAAGTATTTGTTCAATATTAATGGTAAGAAAATTGATAGACTACAGAGCTGTTCAATTGCTTACTGTTCAAGCATGTAGTTTGCAATTTAGACCTCAAAGACCAAGACTACTGCTACAATGGCTGCACAGTTGTGGAGACTAAAGCTATTGGTTGAGAGGCCAGCACTACTATTGAATATGTGCTTAAAGGTCAAACCCCCGACTGCCTTTGGTCTTAGAATTACTTGTAGCCATTATTCCCTTCCTGCAAGAATATAATGTAAAGTGGGATATAATAACAATTATTTTAGTTTGTTTTGGACAGCAAGGGACCTAGAAAGACAAGAATTGGCCATAAAACATGAATGTTTCAAAGATCTGTGTAAACTTCTGGCAAGGGTATTTCCTGTCTTCAAAGATGAACTGGTGAATAAGGTAAATAGAGAAATTCAAAGAAAATTCTCAATACAACTTTCTAAATTAGGTTTTTGAGAGTTTTTAAGGCATGACAGAGGCTTGCAGTACTGAACTAGGCAGTTTTCATAAAGCAGGCACTGATATTTTTAAAGTAAGAAGGCTAATGTTACTCATTTTGTTGAGGCCGCAAGGTAGATGCCTCAGCTAGAATACCTTGGGCAATTGCAAAATTTCAATGGCAGTAGCAAGATACTGAACATGGTTTAATAGTGTCTAAATATGAGTCATTGAGCTAATTCTTAAGTAAGATAAGCTTGAATATACAGTTAACAGATATAAAACCCTCCTTTTTTCTTCCCCTCCTCAGCTTACTCAATAGGAAGACAAAGAGGATGAAGACATTTATGGTAGTCCACATGCACTTACTAAAAAGTAAATATATTTTCTCTTTCTTACAACTTTCTTAGTAACATTTTCTTTAGCTTACTTTTTTGTAAAAATTCAGCATCCAATATATACAACGTACAAAATATGTGTTAATCAACTGCTTATATTATCGGTGGGGCTTCCAGGCAACAGTAGGCTATTAGTAAAGTTTTTGAGGAATCAAAAGTTATATGCAGATTTTCTACTGTGTAGGATTCAACACACCTAACACTAATTGTTCTAGGGTCAACTGCAATTACTTTTCTTCTTAATTACTTGCCAGGCAACATATTGGCTCTGAGGATTGAAATGTAAATAAGACACGGTCAGAACTCACAATCTAACGGCAGATGTGCACATAAAAACAATTAATAATATTTTCCAATTAGAAAAAGAAAAATGGCATTTCAGAATATAAGAATCATGTGCACAAAAGCACAGTGGCGAGACCGTGTTATGATATATTTGGTAATTGGACAGACATGTTAGCATTCTAGAAATAAATACTAACAAAATCAAACAACTGAAAAAAAAAAAAAGGAATAACAAAAAGCCCTAACATTCCGTCTTTGACAATCCCCTCTCCTTGGGCAATCACAAATCCTCAGTGAGAAGACAGTATTCAAAGTTCTCTTCTTCCTTCTGGAGTACTTTCTCAAATTATTATATTAGTATAATTCCTGGTAATCCCTCATACCGCAAGAATTATGTATTACTATGTGAAGACTTTTTAAAAAGTTTACAACATATCCTACCAGTAAATTACTTAGATGATAGTAATTTTGCTATTTGATTGTATTATTTGGGCAACATTGAAAAGATTTAAGTTTGTATCTTTATTGACTTTTGATATAAAAGGCTTGTACTGTGAGATGCATAGAACATTTTGCAACTCTTCACCTAACTCTCAGTCATTCTTCATGTCTCTCACTAAATGTGACTTTCCATGGCAAGCCTTCCCTGTTTTTACTCCCAGATTATACTATTTTCATGTCATCATATGAATCATACTTTACTATAATTTTTCATGAGATTGTCGCTTTCACTCTAAACTATAACCAGGGAGCCATACCCTTTTTATTTACCTTTGTATACCCAGAATCCAGCACCTGCTCTCTCACATCAACTAAAACCATTAAGTGATAGAGTTTATTATTAATCAGCCATGGCCTTAAAAGTAGTTTTTCCTGAGACTAATGGTACATGACAGTAATATGACCTAAGTTGACACATATTTGAAGAATAGTAGAGTTTAACCAGCACAGTCTATTTTCCGGGAACACAACAAAAACAAATCTGCATATTTGAATATCAAATTCAGTGTTTTTAGCAGGATATTCAAGGTAACTGAGCTAATCAGTCACAGAAAGGTCAGTCTTACTGTTTGGGCAATGTGACAAGGGATACAAGTAGTGACATTTCGAAATTGATTGAATCAAGCAGTAGAATGTTATTCACTGGCTATGATTCTGTCCTGGCAAGAGAATGAACTGGCTAACTTAACCACCATCAGAACACTATATGGTTTGAAGAAATCTCTATTATAATACATAATTTTTAATCTTTATGACATATCATTATCCTAAAACATTAAGGTACAGTTGTAAATAGATATGAATGGAAAATTATGTTATCTTCCTTCAGCCTCTACCTCACAACCCCAAGTTACTACCCTTCCCTGAAGTAGCTACTGTAAATCATTTGTAATGTGTTCTCAAAATTATTTAAATATATTTGCATGTGTGTAGAGTACATTTTTATATCACTGATATAGATTTAATGCCTTACATATTAAATAACTATGTTGTATATTTTATGGTATATATGTCTATAATTTAACCATTTTCCTATTATTCAATCTTTTGGTTACCTAAAGATTTTAGCAGTTTTAAAAAATACCAGAGTAAACAATTTTTAAGTACAGATATCTTTGTACAAAAGACATAGATTTCTTTTAGATACTGTGTTTAAATTTTGCTAAAATTATTTAAAAATATCTTTCCTTTCCAGAGTCTCATCACTTGAACATTGGTGTACATATTTTGCCACACTTCATCAATGTGAAAATTATTAATCCTTCAGGGAGGCTAAAATATCTCATTTTATTTTTGTATGTCCATAATTATGAATATAATAGAGTGTTTTTTTATACATTTCTTATTTCTTCTTTTACTAACGACCTGTTCATAACCCCTGCCTATTTTTCTATTGTTTTCTTCTCATTGATTTAAAGAAGCTTTTAAAATATATGATGGATATAATTTGTTAGATGCATTGCAAATGTTTTATCTCAGTTTGTTACTTTTTCATAACTTTGTCAAGATGTCTTTTATTATGTAGGTTATACATTTATTCTTCATAATTCTGACAAGTTTTAAGAAAATCTTTCCTACCTACAAACAGCCTAACATTTAGGCTATAATTTTCTTTTTAGATTTACTACTGATTATTTTTAAAAATTTGATTACTCCTGGATGTTCAGTAAAAACAAGAAAGCCTATCTTATATTTTTTAATGGAAGAATTCACCTATATTTTTATAGTACTTGATTGGATTTTCTTCAGATTTCAATATTTGATTTATTTGGTAATTTATTTGTATGTCTGCAGTGAATAATGAATCAATTTTACGTTTATATGGTTATCCAATGCCTTAACCTCATTTATTAAAAATCTGTCCCATTCACAGAAATGGGAGATATCCCCTAAATCATATGTTTATCTTCTGAGTCATATCATATCACATATTTATTTCTGAACTTTCTATTTCATTTCATTGGTTTGTCCAGTCATGCACCAGTGCCACACTGTTTTAATCATAAATGCATTATAGTATGTTTAACATATAATTGAGTGAATTCCTCCCCCGTAGCATTTCTTTTCAATATTTTCTTAGCTATTTGTGCACATTTATTTTTCCTATATCAAATTTAATATTAACTCATCTAGCTTCAGAATAAAAGCAAATTAGTATTTAGTTGGGAACATATTACATGCATAGATTTAGGGAACATTAACTTATTTAAAATTTTGAAATGGCCTGTTTATAAACAAGCAGTGTCTACTTGTTCAGTTAATTTTTTTTTTTTTAAGACAGCATCTCACTCTGTTGCTAAGGCTGGAATGCAGTGTCATGATTTTGGCTCACTGCACCTGTCACCTCCCGTGTTCTAGTGAGTCTTGTGCCTCGGCCACCCAAGTAGCTGGGACTATGGTCATGCACCACCACACCTGGCTAATTTTTGTACTTTCATTAGAGACAGGGTATTACCATGTTGGTCATGCTGGTCTCAAATTCCTGGCCTCATGTTATCTTCCTGCCTTGGCCTCCCAAAGTGCTGGGTCAATTTAATTTTTGTGCTTTTTGGAAATACTTTATAGTTTTTTTATGTAAGTTTTGAACATTTTTAATCTATATTTTTCCTGTAACAGAAGTTTTCCCTTACTTCGTAATCTTAAACTGGTTATTATTTGTATATGTGATGCTAATGTTTTGTTAAGAGTTTTCAGATATACTATCATGTCAACATATATATGTCAATATAATAAGACAAATTAGCCAATACAGTTACATAAGAGAAAACAAATAAAATACAGTAAAACTATAAACACATTATAGTTTTATATATTACATATGTTTCACTTTAAATAAGATTCTAGATTCTTGGAGATATACACAAGTTGCAGAAGCAGCAATTTATTCTACTTTCTTGAAGAGTTTTTTTTTTTAGAAATGTAGAAATATTCAATTTTGTCAAATGCTTTTTCACTCTCTATAGAAATAATGATACAATGTTTTTATTATTAGTCTTATTATATTGTGATAGTACACAGTATTAAACTGCACTTAGATTCATGGTATAAATTCTACATAGTCATACTCTATTTTTTTACTTAATGTGATATTCAAGTCAAATAGATAAAATTTATTTTGAATTATTTTCTCAATACTCATAAGCAATACTGTTCTGTAATCTTGTTTTTGTGCTATCTTTGTCAGATTTGAGTAACAACATTGCTCTAGCTTCACAAAAATAAAGTTTTTTTTTCTTTTTTAATACTCTGAAAAAATTTATTGAGCATTTGAAATGTCTGACCTCAAAAAGTTTAAATTTATCTTGACTCCAATGGGCCTGTGCTTTTCTGTTAGTTGGATCCTTGATGAAATTCTCTGCTTCATCTGTGAGAGTTGCTCTTTTATATACTTTCAATTTTGGTAACCTGTATTTTCCTAAGAAATTATGTATTTCCCACTTTTGAATGGGCTTGTTAGTTTTTTTCTTGTAAATCTGTTTTAGTACTTTGTAAATTTTAGATATCAGCCCTTTGTCAGATGGGTAAACTGCAAAAATTTTTTCCCAATCTGTTGGTTGCCGATTCACTCTAATGATTGTTTCTTTTGCTGTGCAGAAGCTGTGGAGTTTGATTAGGTCCCATTTGTCTATTTTGGCTTTTGTTGTCAATGCTTTTGATGTTTTGGTCATGAAGTCCTTGCCTACACCTATGTCCTGAATGGTTTTGCCTAGATTTTCTTCTAGGGTTTTTATGGTGTTAGGTCTTATGTTTAAGTCTTTAATCCATCTGGAGTTAATTTTAGTGTAAGGTGTCAGGAAGGGGTCCAGTTTCTGCTTTCTGCACATGGCTAGCCAGCTTTCCCAACACCATTTATTGAACAGGGAATCCTTTCCCCATTGCTTGTTTTTGTCTGGTTTGTCAAAGATCAGGTGGTTGTAGATATGTTGTGTTGCCTCCGAGACCTCTGTTCTGTTCCGTTGGTCTATATCTCTGTTTTGGTACCAGTACCATGCTGTTTTGATTACTGTAGCCTTGTAGTATAGTTTGAAGTCTGGTAGTGTGATGCCCCCTGCTTTGTTCTTTTTGCTTAGAATTGACTTGGCTATGCGGGCTCTCTTTTGGTTCCATATGAAGTTTAAGGTGGAAAGGATATGAACAGACACTTTACAAAAGAAGACATACGTGAGGCCAACAAACATATGAAAAAATGCTCATCATCACTGGTCATCAGAGAAATGCAAATCAAAACTACATTGAGATACCATCTCACGCCAGTTAGAATGGCCATCATTAAAAAATCTGGAGACAACAGATGCTGGAGAGGATGTGGAGAAATAGGAACACTTTTACACTGTTGGTGGGAGTGTAAATTAGTTCAACCATTGTGGAAGACAGTGTGGCGATTCCTCAAGGACCTAGAAATAGAAATTCCATTTGACCCAGCAATCCCATTACTGGGTATATATCCAAAGGATTACAAATCGTTCTACTATAAGGACACGTGCACACGAATGTTCATTGCAGCACTGTTTACAATAGCAAAGACCTGGAACCAACCCAAATGCCCATCGACGATAGACTGGATAGGGAAAATGTGGCACATATACACCATGGAATATTATGCAGCCATCAAAAACGATGAGTTTGTGTCCTTTGTAGGGACATGGATGAACCTGGAAACCATCATTCTCAGCAAACTGACAGAAGAGCAGAAGATCAAACACCGCACGTTCTCACTCATAGGCGGGTGTTGAACAATGAGAACACATGGACACAGGGAGGGGAGCACTACACACTGGGGTCAGTTGGGGGGAAATAGGGGAGGGATGGTGGGGTGTGGGAAGCTGGGGAGAGATAGCAAGTGGAGAAATGCCAGATGTAGGTGATGGGGAGGAAGGCAGCAAATCACACTGCCACGTGTGTTCCTATGCAACAATTTTGCATGTTCTTCACATGTACTCCAAAACCTAAATTGCAATAAAATAAATAAATGGGAAAAAAAAAAAAGAAATTATGTATTTCACTTAGGATTTCCTCGCATGGGGGTGCTCAAAATAATCATATATATATATATATATATATATATACACACACATATGTATACACACACACATATATAAATTTACTTGCATATGTGTATACATATATATACACACATATATACATGTATATATACACACATATATGTAAAATATATATGTGTGTATATATTTACACATATGTATATAGATGCACAT